TATTTCTAGAATTAATAGAAATTTTAACGAGTGCTCCTTGCGAGAAATTGTTATGATTTATAATAACAATACATATACGTTGACACTAAGAGGTCGAAAAGCCTTAGATTTGACCATCAACGGTAAAAATCCACAACTTAGTCTATTGCGTATGTTCATTAGTGTCTGCATTCATTAACTACTTCCTACTTGGTTTACTCTGGAAAAAAATTGTTTTTCTGGGTAAAGAATCGGTGCGATTGATCATTACTCCAAAACATTCACTAAAATCGTTTTGGAGAGAAATTCGTACATGAACAGTTTGTGAGTGAAGCCAAAGACTATCAAAAAATTGAAAACATGCCCACTTGCTCTGAGTCGTAATTCACCTTTTTATTCTTAATCGTATTAACCCTAAGAGTGACGAGCATCTAATTTCTCTTTACAGTATCACCCCTGAATCAAACATTGAGGTCATGAGAATAAAGGAAATGATCAGCAACAAAAGAAGCTTTTGATTGGTAAACAAATTCGACTTGTCGGCATCTCAGGAAATGTATAAGAACAGTAAGGAGGTATGATACGGATCATGCTGGGATGTAAAGGGTCAACATAAGTGGGCCTTTGTTTGCATAAACAGACAGGCGGTCATTCTTGAAATAGTTGGCAGAAACTTATCTGGCTAAAATTAGAAAAATAACTGCTCCGTGTAACTTAAATACTGCTAATGCTATGTCATACTATGACAGTTAAACGCAAAATAGGAATGAATTTGATCGTGTGATCATCGCCTGGCAGATATGGATATTGCGTGCGTATTTTTTACATGCTTCATACTGGTTATAATTACTGATTTTAGTACCCGAGGGTAGTGCACTCGCAAGGACGTTATTATTAATCTTTTAGTCCCTAGAATCACCTTTGTTCATACGTGGGCCTTTGTTAGCAATTGTTCCAAAGTAAAGCAAAAAACCTAATGAAACGGAAATTTTGACATCGCTGTGGTCTCCAAAGGTCAACTGAGAAACGTGTGAGAATATTCTCAAAATAGTCTCATTGAAACTTTCGTCGTTTACCCACATAAAGAGGTTAAAATCTGATTAATTTCATAGAACTATCCAAGTTAACTTCCCTACTGCTAATTGTATCTCACAATATGATAGTTAAACGCAAAATAGGAATAAAATGGATCGCGTGATCATCGAAGTTAGAAATATCAATTGCGCGCGCATTATTTGTTTCTTTGTTCTTGAACATAATACTCTCTTACTCTAAGCTGCAACTGGCCTCTTTATTTCTAGAATTAACAGAAATTTTAACGAGTGCTCCTTGCGAGAAATTGTTATGATTTGGCATATATAATAGCAGAAGCTGTAAGGCAGAGCCAGCACCCAAGGCTCTCGGGCATGACGATTGGTAGGGAGGAAACTGAATTCACTGTCTATCGCGGGTACTTTGAAAAAACGCAATAAAATGTCCGCATTGTTGTGGTCGATGGCCCGACATCACGCACAACAACCTTCTTTGTTTCCTTGGTAAAGAGATACTTATAACTACCCTGTGATAGTTAAAGAAAAAATGAGAATAAAATTGATTCCGTGATCATCGAAAACAGAAATGGAAAATTGTGTACGCATTACAAGCTTGCATGGTTTTCAGTTCTCGATCACAATACACAGCTGCAAGCGAATGAAGTCCGCGTATACTAGAATTATCTTTTCCTTTTCGATGTAAAAGTGTTCGAGTTTTTTATCTGAACTCCAAAGCCAATGATCACATGCTCGGCTCAGAGCAAAATTTGTTTTCAGCCTGTAGCGATAGCATCTTTGTTCACAGATAGCGTCGCCAGCTAAACAGGCACAAAACTGACACGAACTGTATATTAACAGCCAAAAGTATACATCAAGTCTTACCGGAAAGGAATATAGCTTTCGTTCTCTAATAATATACCTTCTGGACGATTTCGAATGTCGTGAAGAGTTCTTCCTTTACGATATCCAGACTAGACTGTCGCTTATTTAGATATGGATGACTAGGCCACTTCCGAGGTCTCAGTGGGGGTGGGGGGTATTCCTACTGTTATATGCACAAACGATATTAGCAGAACTATTTTCATAGACCTGCCTCCTCGAATATGACGTCACTGATCGTCGAATAGAATAGCTGCGGAAACAGTTTTAACTGAAAAGAGAGTATTTAAAAATACTCTCTTTTCAGTTGAACGCTGTAGCAGCGGGGAGCGGTGATGTAAATTCAAATATCAAATGTTGCTGAGGATTTAATTTGACTGGGGAAGAGAAGTTTTACCAGTGTCAAAAACACACTAGTAAAGATCCACCTCAATAGGGAATTATGCCAGTTATGAAAGTACTCAACTATTTATCCTAAACTAACTTAACGAAAAAATTGCTTGCAGTTTACAGGAAGTGATGCTAGCAATACTACTCTGAATAAACAAATCCGTGATGTATTGTAAATCCTAATTCTAGTTTGTCAGTATTGTAAATCATACAAGTGTTGTGATGATTACCTGATTTGATGTTTTTTTAAGAAGTAATTCGGAAAAATAAACTTAGATGAAGCTTAGAAATTAGCACCAGCATCATGTCAACCATGCGATAAGACAAGAACCACTGAAATACCGGTCCCAAGGGATATCTAAGCCATTGTTTCCCTTGGGACCATTCGTCTAGTGCTTTGTTGTACCCACCAAAATAGGAAAAAATAGGAAAGGAAAAAACAGATGAGACTGATATTGTTTTAGCTGCCTTGACTGAAAAAACAATTACATACTTAATTGTTGATTCCCGAGGCTTCTCTTCTTATACTGTTAGCCTACACAGCTGACGGAAATATAATATTCAATCGCAAGACTCAGAAAACGGAAGCTTATTAGATATGCGTTATGAACAAGGGTGCAGTACCAGTAGGTAATTTTTAAAAACAGTATCCTCATCGGTGAAGAGTGTATTTGAAAAATTACAGAGTTATTATGGACCAGAAGTAACGTTCGACTACGATAAGATACGAAATTAACGCAATCTCGTGATTACTTTTTGAAAGCAACACTGAAACACTCGCCTCAAAAGCGTGGGCTACATCACATTACAACGCCACCTTGTCATAATTTGTCACAAAAATTCAATATTTGTTGTTTGAATCGTTTCAGACAGAGTATACACAATCTTCGGATAATAAGTGAAAAGCTGTTTTTGCGGTAGTTCACACTTACCTTGAACATGACCTTGCTTGAGAAGAGAGGTTGTCACTCGAAGCTGTCGAATTGCATGTGGGGATATCAGTATTTCACTGGTTGTCGGATCGATGTCGACGTCAAACTTCCCGTGCAAGGGTCAATCCGAAATTACTGAACATTTTTACATGTTTTGCCTGCTTTATTAGGCTCTTAATAATCTTTTTTTTTTGTTGTTGTTGTTTTTATGTCATATTTTGCACGATTTTTTTTTTCATCTAGCACGGTCCAGTACGCAATGTATGGAAAGCTTCTTACATAAATTATAGGGGATCAAAGGGAAAAAAAAGGGAAAATTGAGGACGATAAGGAACTAAAAAAATAAATGGCGCCTCTTTGCACTTTTTGTTTCAGGTTCCACGAATTACAAAGCTGTCCGAACGATGGTTAGAGTTTTTCGTTTGAGATTTATCTCTGTGTTTAAAAATATAATATCTCGCTTTAATAACACACTGCAGGCCGAACGAGAAACAATCGAACAGGGCGTTGGAAAATTCAAGTGCTTACAGTCGCTTTTCACACTAATGCAGCATTTCAGAAGAATATTCAGCGTTAACGAACGAACAAAAAATCATTTCAGGTGTTCTCCCTTGTTCTCCTGACGAAAAAACAGTTTGAATCGAGATACAAGAGTAGAGAGTTTCAATGGGGAGATGGCTTTTACGGCTAACGGTTAAAATTTCAGCCATTTTAAAGCCAATGGTAATTTCCTTCCGTTACAGGTTAAAGACAAATTTTTATGGTTTACTTTTCTTCTACTAACGGTTAAAGTTTGTAAATGTTTACGCCTAACGGCTAAATTATTTTTAGTTGTTCTACGGCTAACGGTGATCCCCATCGACACCCTCTGAGTATCACCATTGTGCTATGTGGGTAACCCACTAAGCGAACACTTTTGGGAGGGGTCGATCCCTGGCTGCCCTCCCCCTTGGCCCCTCCCCTCGGTGGAGCTCACCTGCAGGCAAACTTGTGGGAGGTGACAATGATGAGAACATGATGAGATGGTAAAGTTGGTATAACAAAACCACAGAGGACTCGCAAAGGTACCAGATAGGATACTAGTGGTAGTAGATCTCTACTAGAGATTGTATAATCTCTTGGTCTCTACCACCGCAAAAATAGTGAAATCAAATGTTCGGCCTCATCAGTACGCTACCGCTCACATAATAACTTGGGCAACGTGTTAGAAATGCCTCGTTCATGAACCTGATAAAGTCGAAACAGCTGTCCATGGCTTGTAAATGATTTGATAAGATGAAATGTCGATTAGATGTTCAACCAAAATCGTGCAAGATACCTTCCTCTTCAATCTTCCTTAACCGAATTCTGCAGGCTGTGAGAAGTCTTTTAGTATATATTTTGGTTTAAAAATCTTATGCAAAAGCGTTGAAAATCGTACACCAATGGATGCCGCTAAAGACATTCAAAAGACTCGCTACCAATTAATGTGTTGTACAAAGTGATGAATCCTCAGATAAAACAACTTCTTATTTTTAACTCAAGATACCCATATAACGCACAGTTTATTGAGAAATATCCACATCTAGATTTCTCTTCATTTTTTCGTAATGAAGTGCGGATGTTTCTCCATTTCCTTCCTCAGTGACGGGGAACATGGAACCCCGTTAATCACCTTCCGTCTTTACTTCACTCACCCCCCACTCACCCACCCCCCCCTTCCCCTGTACGCTCGAACGAAGCTCTCACAATCTTGTGTGATAAATTTCTGTAGGCTATGAGTCTTTTGCTTATCCTTCCGCGAATGTAAGACTGCGCAGCGTAG